ATCTTCTGTATCCCTAGGGCTTCAACCATATCCTCAGAAGGTGGTTAGACCCCCTAGGCACCCACCCCAACCATCTTTTCAGGAGGTAGTTGGAACCCTAGGGCCCTAGGGTATAGTCACAAGTGGTGTCACATGGCATTCAGCCATTGTCATTCAATCTGGATCCCCGTGACTCGTGACACGACATATGCATGCCACCAGTGTCATGGTATGCTCTTTTTGCCCTTTGCCGTCATAGGTATTCAGGGCTTTTCTTGGATCTTTTCGGCGGATCATGATTCAAACCAAAAAGAAATCATGATCCGCCAACCAAAGATGCCAAAAAGGCTTTTCGGATTGATCGCTCCGGAGAGCGATCTTTTCTGTTGGATCTTCTTCCTGGCCTCACGTGCCGGGAACCCAGTCGTCGTCCCAGTCGTCCCGTCCTGTGATGTCCTGTCATGGACGACCGTGTCGTCCGATTGGGTCGGGTGCCGGGTTCTCTGGGTTCACCGTTTCCGGTGCCGGGTCCGGTGAGATGTTGGGATCCACAGCGATGGGTCGACCGTGAAGCGTGTGGGCAGTGCAGTCGATGAGGCGATGGCAGCGCTACAGAGATCGAAAGAGATCGAAATGAAAAAGGGCCAAAAAGGTCGACCGAATGTGAAGCAAAGCGCATGAATATACGAGTAAACACAGAAAGATACACGGTACACGTACTGGTACACGTGTTGATTCAGACTGTTTCAATGCATCTTTGTTTCGTCTCCAACCCGAAGGATGGGAAGTTTTTGAACCTCAGTCCATGGATCTTTCCGCGTCCTTTGGGTCGAAGAAAGGCTCCAAATCAGACCTGACCAGGAGGACCTGGGTCAGACTTATGACTCGATCTTGCATTGCAAGTGAACGCCAGACATGGATTGAACAACCTCTTCAGGCGGCTGCGGGGTTGAGATTGGTTTATGAATGAGTCCATGACCCCAGACCTTTAGGGTGCTCCTTCCCTGGCTCGCTCTTTCTTCGGGCGTTCGCCACGACCCAGAGACGCACCGCCTCCCATTTCGTCGGTGAGTCCGACCGGCGGAGTACTCCGGGTGAAACCGCGAGGGTTCATGCCGCGCGGATGCCGCGCGGGCAGAGTTTGTGGGGAAACGTGGCACGGCACAGTGGCAGCAAATCTTCTGCATGTATAATATCAGAGGAGACCAGTAGCAGAGTAGAAGCCACTAGGTTTAAAGTGGTTCGAGTAGTAGGGAGTACATTGCGTATCAGAAATTAGGTGAACCACGATACGGAGTACCAGTCAGAGTACACTTGAAGCCTGGCGCTAGATGCAAGAACCTGCTCAAACGTCTAGCTTGCGTCTTTGCTTATTTTTTGGAGGGGGAATACCGTGATACCATGACATTCACATTGAAACGTGGAAAAGCACATGATCCTAGGCCCCTCCATGGCCCCTATGCATTGAAGTGCCTTGTTGCAAGGAGGAGAGCCCCGCATCTTGGCCATTCAGCCAGGCGGACACCTGGATTCTCCCCTTTCTGCTTCGTTCTGTTTGAGCAAGATCCTAGCGTTCTGCTTCGCTAAAAAGCGTTCTGCTTCATCCAGTCATTTTGGCCGCCTTGACCTAGATGTTGTCAGCATCTTGAGATGGATTTGACTCCATTTTGTCGACGCTGCCGCACTGCCTGGAGGCCACTAGACCCATCGGGGCCAAGAGAGAAAACTCTGAAAGTACAGCGATGAGCAGGCGCAGCTTGTGCCATCTGCAAGCGCCACAGCAAAGACCCAGCGCATCAGAAAAGACCAAGAACACTATTTTATGGAATTCAAGGGCTTACCACAAAGGCTCAAGAAATCCTACAATACCTTGAATGAGGATAGAGGTCTTCCCCTTGAATTGCAGGGTTTGGCGCTCTCGAGATGGTGTGAGATATCTTCCACAAACAAATATATAATAGATATAGATATATAGATCTATAGAACATTGAAATAGAAATGACTATAAATGTTCGAAATCTTGCCCTGCAACTACTCATTACAACAATGGGCTAAACCAGAATTGGAACAATCCTATGGTCACCCTTGTCTTGAAGTGACTTAGTCAAGGGATTCCAAAATGGATCTGTCGACTCCTGTCTCCATTCTCATGCCTTTCTTCATGCCTCATGAGCATCGTCATCCGACCGACCGACGCGCTGCGGTCGTACTGCGCGGGACCTCGTATACGGCGCGAACAGGAGAGAGACCTGCTGCTTCACGAACCGCAGGTGCGTCGCGCCAGCTTTGGGTCCCAAGTTTCGAGAAGAGGCGGATCAAATGGCCGAAATCCATGAAAGGATCCCACTAGAAACCGGCTGTTTCAGGGTGGATGAAAGGGGTTGCTGCATAGCTTCGGCTGGTTTTTTCCCCCTAAAAGGACGCATCAGTGAAACAAACAAATGTGGGAACTCAAAGAAGGAAAAACACCTCTCAAGACCTGGTTCACTGGCCAAAATGGCGTCCAAAAGCCTTTGAAACCATCAGTGAGTGGGTTCTCTTCACGCCCAAAACGCGCGCCACCTCAAGCAAGTACTTGTACACCCGTACACGCGTACACCCAAACCTTGAAACGATGGGAGAGGGTGGATGACCCAACTGAGGCAGCAAACTCGGAACTCTTGAGGCAGCAACCACCCTCGACTGCCAAAAAAAACACGTTGAGCCGCGAAAAGGGTTCGAACTTGACCTAACTCGGATGCAATTTCTCTTCAGCGTCGTGGTGATGTGAATGGCAGCAAGCCAGACCAGCAGGAGGCCGCAGGCTGTTCACCTATCCAACCTCTTCTGGCGATTTAGGTGAACATGGATCCTCAGGATACGCAGATGATTTGAGAACTTGATCTTTAAACTTCCATTTTCACTCTTCTCCACCTGGGAAACCACTTAGATGGATATCGGGTCGATGGACGGTGTTTAGCAGACGGGGGACAGGGAACGTCGCGTCGAGGGACGTCGGGGCCGGAGCCAAAAGATTCTCCATTTCGCGGTGAAAAGGATGTGGTCATTGCCTGTGCTTGAGCCTTGGGTAGGCATCTGGCCTGACCTTCTTAAAGCAACCCGAGAAAAATGTGCCCCGAACCCTCGAGTCAGGGGTCTGGGGTCCAACCAATCCCTTACAGGTTGGGTCTATCCGAGTCTATCTGGAGGGGAGACAGTGGATGATGGCTAGTAAAGGCCTTGATGGCTTGATTCTTACAGGTAAGTTGGGAGAGACCCAACGAAAAAGGTTTGGATTGACCCGCTTTCCGGGCGGGCTGTTTGGGTCCCGGAGCATCGAATCATGCAGTGAACGGAGCGGTGATCTGGGCAACACTGATGGAAACATGCTGCAGGAAACTTATGGTTTGACACCGAATATGGCAGTCAGCCTTCTCAAACCTGTTCATCAAACGAACAACCGCATGGTACACCAGCAAGAAAGACACCAGCAGCAGCACACCACACACCATCTGCTACAAGCTGCATACTAGACTACTACCACTGACAGACATGACCCTGCTATCGCTCTCCTCTCGCTGAACCCTGAGCCAGGCTCACCGGTGATTTTAAAACTTCAAAGTGTGGCAGTGGGCCGCCTGTTGGTGTCCCAGCGAAGAAGAAAGGCAAGACACCAACAAGTAGAGTGACAAGGATATAGTTATTCAGGGGCGCAGCAGTGAGTCAAAGGATGTACCAAGAACCGGCTTGGAACTTCAGGAGATGAGCCCATGATATCGAAAAACCAAGCAACCCAAACACCGCCTTTGATTTCGCCACACACAAGTGGTCATGACCATGCCTTCCTTCAACCCCCGGAAGCACTGCAGAATTTGCTCACTGCTGACTGGAAACCCTCACCTGGTGCCGTGCTTGGATTTGCGGTTCCCCGTTCCTCCGGGAGACGACTTTAAAACATCTTGCCCCAAACGGGATTGACCCAGTTCGGGGAGAAAACAGCATAAAACCAGCTCATTTCAGTCTTGTGAATCTGAGTTGCACCTAACAACCATTCTGAAAACATATCGGATATGTGCAGGTATATGTTAAATGAGCAGCTCGGTACGCCCGGTGCTTGCACCTATCTGGTTGAGTCTTGGGAGCCTGGAAGCTGAAGTTTAAATCACTTTGCTTTCTTCGCATCACAGAGGTTTTGATCCGCGAAGAACTCAGATTGAAGTCGTGTAGTGGTCCCAAAATAGATGGTCTCCAAACTTTGGATACTGTAAGTTTCAGACCCAAATACCTCGAAACTAGATCTACTTACTGTGAATATGACATAAAGGAAATCTGACTTCCTTGTTGAGTTCAGTGCATTCAGAACCACTGAGACTCACCAAACACCCAGCCGCACCATGCTCAACGATCACCCCAATCACTCCCAGTCCCAGTCACGTCTGATTTAGGGGTGGATCTACACTCGAAATCGGTGAAACATCACCCCACTGGGCCACTAGCGGAGTGGTCGTATCGGATTGCTTGAAAACATAGCGATAAGGCTCGTGGGAGTGGTAGTTCTCGTTTGGCGCTTCGCGGCTGGTCGACCGATCCACCCGGATCACCCGAGAACTCGGGGGGATCGATGCTGGGAGGGTGAACGGAGGAGCAGCTGGTCAGACGGCTGCGGACGTCGGACGTCTGGAGTCAATGGAGAAGCTGCAGACGGTGATTTCCCTCACATGTGATTCATACGAATTGATGAACAGATTCCGAAAGTAATATGGATCTGAAAATATGTATAAACATTGTGAAAAGATTATGGAGCTTCAGTAGTGTTGTCTATGACGCTTGCATTGGGGCTTCCAGAGGGCGGCTGCTACGTTTTTTTCTCCTAGTATATGGGACACCGCAACCAATTCTTGGTATCTACGCATGACAACTCCAGGTATCTACGCATGACAACTCCAACGAACCGGATTCACTTCATTTGGGGCATTTTAGATGTGTCTGGATGTAGTCAGATCCTGGCCGCTTGCCCGCGTGCAAACCAAATCGGCTCCAGCCTAGAGGAAGATTGCAAGGCAGGAAATGTTGTCCATGGAACCTTGGTTCGAGTCTTGTGAAACTCAAACAAATGTTTCAATGGTTTCAACCTGCTTGAACCGATGAAAAAGAAAGACTAGTGAAGATTCTATGAAGTATGAAGACAATGAGCCACGTCCAAAAAATAACTCACATCATTCTTGTCGCTTCCCACAAAACTCGATGGAGACCTCATCTGCGCCAACAAGCTTGCGACAATCCCTTGCCCCAATGCCCCATAGACAGCTTCTTCTGCTGTACGGCCAAGCGTATGCCTTGAATCAAGGTATCAAGGTCAAGGCCGGGCTCTCCAAGCCAAAATAAGCCAATATCCAGTCTTCCTCATGCATACCCAGTTCTTGGGGCCAGTGATTCTCAATCTGCCACCCGCCTGAGGGATCTACTAGTCTCAAAGGTACAACCCCCCCATCTCACCAAAACCTCCATTCGCGCTCACCGACTTCGCCCAGCGACCACTGCGTTGAGCCTCCTGCACCAGCCTGCGCAGCCAGGTTCGAAGCGCCAGCAAGCCCGGTGAGCCGAAGGGGCCTATTCTTGCTTGATTCCTGTCAAAGCTTTTGACCTTAACAGGGTTGTTTGGATGACCTGGCTGCAAAGCACTCGTTGGAGCTGAAACACTCAGTCCATGCACTTTAAGACATACCCAGACACTCCAAAGAACCCTCCAGAGGATTCGGGTCCGACCCCTCTGTGTGAGCCTGGGTATTAAGAATGTCAGAGTTAACAGTTAAGTTAACTTTACTCTGCTCTGCTCGTGTTTGTTAAAGCCATGAAGGTGTAGTATCGTTCGACGGCATGGGGGAGCTTCCAACCAACGCTCTCATGTCAATGGTGGCAAAAGGAACCCATAGAGAAAATAAGCCAACATGTTGGATGGTTGCTACATGTTTTGGTACATGTTGCTATGCCAAGCCAACCGACCAATCATACCAATCATACCAAGGGCGACAAACTGGCACTGGGCCATACTGGGCTGCTAGATCGGATGTGGGTGTCGACCATGGGCGACTTCGGAAAGGCCAGTCCAAGCGCGCACCACTCGGCCAATGCCCGTGGGTATCGGCCGGTTCAAGCCATTTGAGTCGACTTGGTGGAACCACGGAGGGAATGATCTCCCAAGTGCACCGAACAAGTCTTGGTCAGTGCAAACACTGAACTTCAGCTATCTTCACCTGATGGGCAAAACACGTTGATAACTCCTGCACTCTCCACTTGGCTGTCCCAGCGCACCACCATACCTCCCAACTCCTGCACTCTCCAGCCGCCGCAGCTGTCTTATCCCGCCTGTGAGCCACGTGCTCGAGTCCATTCCGACCTCGATTTCATCGCGGCGCTGCGCCGAAGGACGGCGAGATGCTTTCTGTGGAAGTGTGATTCCTTGATACCTGGATTCAGTAACGAGATATCGTGATTTTTGCGACTCAATTCCTGCAAATCATTATGGTTTACGTGGAAAGAGTTCACCACCTGTTTGAAACAGAAGTCTTTGGGCCGAACGGTCGACCGGTTTGGTTGTTTGGAAGGTCGACACGAAACGTACAAATCCTCGCTGTTACGGCATGGCACGCGAAGACTCGGATGTTCCGACCACGAAAGACGTGGTACCTGGAAGATCCTTTCGGCAGATTTCTTGCCCCAGGTGCGTCTAGCTATGACAATGTTCAAGAGGTGTTTTTGGACCCTGAAGCCACGGCGTTTTGGGACGTTGGGACGAATGGAATCGGATCCTGGCAACGAAACAAACAAACCTACGGCTGCCCACTGGCAGCAGTTTCTCGGTCAGTATTTAACCCAACTGCCCAAACAGCTTGTGCTGCTATTGTCTGACAGCTCGGCTCTGAAAGTCAAGTGTGAACCAAACCTGTCGACAGGCTCTTCACACAAGTCGGGATAGCAGCTCTCTCAAGCCCTCAATACTAATAATACTCACTGTTATAGGCACGAATAGTGTCTGGCCAGTCTCTATAAGCGGGGAGGTGAAGGTATCATGTTCAAATCTGGCTTAAGGTGTTCAAATCAACCGCTCTCCACCCCAAAACCATCACAAAACGAAAGACTGGACGACGTTCGGATCTTGCCTTAAGGACCTCACAAAAGACCCCTAGCTGTTTGTGAAGCTGTGAAGCTGTTCCAGCCGACCCACACCCTATGACTCCAAGGAGCTACTTTCTGTGACGACTTTGCCTACATCCTGGCGTGGGACATTGGCGCCTTTTTTGGTGCCGAAGGACACTTAACACCAGAAGCTTCATCCGGTGGGCTGGCGTGTGCGGCAGGTGTTCAAGACACCTAAACAAGCGACCAACAAGTTTGCTGGCGCTTGGGTCAATACGAGCCATTAAAAAAAAGTGTTTGGGTGGGGAGATATCCGATATCCCAATGTTCCAGCCAATACACCCACGGCATTTGGGAAAATGATGTTCCGCTACACAGTCGGAGTGTGACATCCAAAGATCCAACAGCATGTAAAAGGCGACTGGTCGCAAAATGGCAACGCCTCCATTGGCACCCAGCCATTGCCTCCAGCTGAAACATAAAAGGTTTTCACATACAAAAAACAGTTTTTGCTAAGGAAAACCAGGTGTTTGATGGTTTGTGAGGCCCCTGGTTGTATCTTCAAGTTGCCACGAAAGCAAAGCAAAGAACGAGGACCAGTCCGCACGAACGAGCCCACGAGCCGCACGCGGCGACAAACGAGGTCAAGCGGCACGAACCACGAAGACACCCATCTATTTGCACCATACATCATTCTGGAATTCCAACAACCACTATACATTGTTTAAGAGTCTTAACCACATGTTGTACTAAGGATGATTGACTAGCTGCAAAACCAGGTCAACCATTCCTTTACTGGTCCAACTGCATGTATATGTTCCAAACAAACACACTCCACCGGATGCTCCTGGAAATTGGCTACACGCCGGAGGCTCCACTCCACACCGGTCACACCTGCTGTCGCGTGCGGTGCGGCCGCGCCTTCTCCTCCACAAAGTCCCACAGTCCGTCGCTGGCCACAACCAACGCGAGGTCGCGCTTGGCGTCGTGTGCGCGCACCGAAGGGCGGCAGCTGAGGCCTGCGAGTGCTGGTGGTGCTTGCGCTTGGATGGTGGAGTGTGGAATCTGTTGCGGAGCTTGCGAGTGGTATCCAAGGTGTGGCAAAGCCCGAGGTCTGACTACAGAAATCAATATCATGTGCTCATCATGGAATGCTGTGTTGGTGAATGACTCGGGCAAGGGGTATACCGTCTGCTATGATAAAGTTCCTGTGTCTATGTGCGGAAGGGGCTCAAAACAAAGTATAAATTATCCCAGAGGATCCCAAGTACACTCTGAGAAGGTGATCGGGGCCAC